CTTACCCATAGTTCCCCACACACTCCTTAGCAACGTGGGTGTGACCCACGGACTCACACAAGGTCCATTTTTCCCAAGTGACAGCTTTATGTGTTTTTGACTGTAGGAGGAAACCGAAGCACGGGGAGAACATACTGTATAAGCTCTTTGCAGCTTTGCAGCAGCAATGCTAACTACTGCGCCACTGTGCCACCCTGCTAAATTCATTCACTTTGATTTTAAAAGTGTTAAGCAGAACCCAGTTACAAAGAACCTAAATACAGAATGATATTGTAAGAAAGCAGTTTACACTTCTGTCTGTTTAATACATGAAGAAGGCACGCTGAGGTTTCGATTGACCACATTCAGCCTGGAATTTTGCATCTAAAAAGCAATAGGAAATGTACAGTATCATACCAGAGTGATCTTGAATTTTCCAATTTATTTTTTAATAAGGGTTAACACAAATGGTGCATTTTTTACATTTGATTTATTATTCATATATGCAACACCTTTCAAAGGAATATTTGCACCAGTTTGTTTCTTAATTCATTAGAATTCAGGCCATAAACAATGGGATTCACATTTGCTGGAACAACATGAAATAATATGTCTGTCAGTTTTCTGAAATCTGGGTTAGGAGGATAACGATGCAGTATAACAGTTAGAAATCCAGAGCACAGCATGACCAGGTACAGAACTAAGTGAGTGGCACATGTTTGAAGTGCTTTGCTGTTGATCTTCTTGTTTTTTGTATTGAAACAAACGAAAAGTATGTTGCAATAGGTGATGGAGATGCTTCCCATTGAGGATACATGCAATAAAACTGTGATGAATAATCCATAGATGTTATTGACTGTAATATCTTCACAAGACAACTTGAACAAGGATGCATTGTCACAATAAGCATTGTAAATAACTGATCTGCACCTGGACAGCCTCAGGGTCAGGGCAAACAGCACTATTATTAGACTCAGAGACACTCCCCAAGCACAAGCAGATAACTTTGCCACTGTACTAGTGGTCATAATAGAATTGTACCTCAAGGGATGGCATATAGCCACATACCTGTCGAGAGCCATAACTATTAGTATCATGTGTGAAGCAGATCCAAAAATATGACTGCAAAAAGCTTGAACAACACATTCAATGTAAGAAATGTATCTTTTAGATGATAGAATGTCCAACATGAGCCTGGGCATCAGGGCAGTGGTTCCGATCAGATCATTCACAGGCAAGTTACATACCAAGAGATACATAGGCTGGTGCAAACTTCTCTCAGTGGTGATGAGCACTAAGATCCCAATATTGAAAATAAGGATGAGAAGATAGTTGAATAATAGAAGAAGGAAAAGAGGGTACATGGATTGGTCAGTGACATTGAAGCCTTCCATTTCCAGGAGACACTGGCTGTTTGATGATACATTTTCCATTGTTTCTGTTATGGGACTGATAGCAAAAACAGAAGAGACAACATAGAGCAATCATGGTTGTATGCAGACTTAGTATTTTACAGGGATTTTAACCACACTTCCCTTTTTAGCAGCAGATCATTGAACATGAAAACTACAGGAAACTTAAACACCTCATATGCTTTTTAGCAGATTTTATACATTCTAAAACAGAGGGACTCAATGTCAGAAACAATTGGTATAACTGGAAGGTATTATAGAATTAACACTACTACTCTAAATGTGGACAGTAAGACATCCAAGTTAACCATTAATCTTTAATTAATTAAGTTTTATCTTAACATTTTAGGTTTGTCAGGTTAGACTAGAACGTTTTATTCACGATAAGTGATACAGTTTAGAACTCTTTATTTCTACAATGTAATCTTTTTGAAGTTGTTCGCATTAATATTTTGTTTGTATGTGATCAAGATTTACTTTTGGAGAAATAATGACATGATTAAATGATGACCAAAATAATCTGTAAACACATATAGTATACATTTAAGAAATTCATATGGTATCACTTTTACTATAGTTATCTATGCTTGGGCAAGAAATATTTTTGATTGCTAACCAACAGTGCATAAAATATGCACTTAACCATATCTGAACATACTGCACATTAAATTAAATGCACTACATTAATTACAGTACTGCTAAATACCCTGTATGTATATTTACACTGTATTTAATAGATTCTTAATGAGTCTACAAGTATGTATAGAAGAATAGATGTATAATGCATATGACTTAAAAATACAATTAGAAAAATTAAACCAGTTAAGATACTGTAGTTTTGATTGCCTTCAATTTCAAGATTTGTGGCTTTTGAGATTTAGAGTTTCTGTTGTTTTAGTTCTTTAAGTTATTGTCATACATAAATTATTTCTGTATATTTACAAAATTCAATATGAGGAAAAAATAAAACTGCTCAATGATTTTTTTAGTTACCGCTTAATTGTTTATGTGTATAAATGAAATAACCAAATACAGTACTATATTGATAAGCTACAACATAATCAAAAACTACAGTTTTATATCAATAAGCTACTATACAGTCTTGCTTGAATTGTTAGCTGCACCCTGCTTTAAGGCCCCCTTATCACCATAGACACTGCTTTTGACTTTTAAATACCTGGGATACACTATAGGTCCTGGAAAAGAAATCTTACACAACAAGAGAATAAAAGAGTTATTTTTAAAGTTAAAAATAATAGAAGTTATAGCTGCTTTGAGTTATGGATTATGGTTAACATCATAATATCACCTCCAATATCAAAATGTGCATCCTCCTAAAAGCAAAATTGAATGTAAAATTGTAGCACAATCATGCCTTACCTCCTCTGATTGAAAGGAAGCTCCTGCACACATTGGAACTGTGAAAACAGTGCTATCAGATGGCCTTTTTATTTTCCCCACCAAAATGACTGAAAAACTTGGGTCTGTGCCAGTAATGAGGTGAGTAAAAACAAACATGTCTATTGAGAAATATTTAGACGGCTCTTTTCAAAACATTCAGTTGTCAAGGTTAAAGACAAGGCAACAGTTGCCATGATATGTGTGTTCATAAACAGAATTGGAATATTATTAGATGCTGGTGCTATAAAGGTATAGATGTGCAGCTAACTGTTGTCTGCCATTATTTTTTCTTTCCTAATCCTGCCAAGCAGCTCACGTTGTTGATGATTTTACTCATACCCTTTTAAACTCTGGATGCTGTTAAAAGCTGATTTAAAAAAAAATATATATATACAGGTATATACTTATAAACGTTATACATACCATTGGAAAAAAATCAAACAATGCCTCTCAGTGCCAACGTCTAGTAACTATGACTACACAATTGTAGTAGTCAATGGCTGTAAGACAGCTGCCCATTGTCCGTGTTCAATTTGTCCCTGAACAATGTGGGAGTTTTTTCAGATACTGTACATTTACGACAAAAAAAAAACCCAACAGATTGTTTGGCAAAAATTATCTAATTATGTATTTTAGTTCATGTAGGTAGCTGGATCAGCCTGCATAGGCTGCAAAGGAACAGGTAACGTGTTGATTCCATGCTGAAAAGAAAAGAAAGGAAACACCTGAAGAAGGCCCCACAGCTGAAACGTTGTGTTTCCTTTCTTTTCTTTTCAGAATGGAATAAACTTGCTACCTGTTCCTTATTATCTAATGATAATTAAACACCCATAAAACAATGTCTGATGCTGTGAACACATCCAAGCTTTCATTGCTCTGCAGGCTTCAGGGCTAGAGATCTCCCTCTTCTGGGCAAGACCTGTCTGATAACTATGCCATTTGCTCTTGAGAAAAGAAGAAACATCCTCTAAAATTCCAATGATCCATCTAGAATCTTACCAACAATCTCAGCTAAGATCTATACAATTTTAATATCGTAAGTGTGTATAAACATATACTGTATAAACATTTTGTATCCATGCAGCTGGGGTCCATATCTAGTTAGAAAGCCCTTGGACAGTGCAAGAATCTTAAAACCCCCTCTATCTTGCAAATTTAGTGACACTGGAGAAGTAACTGAAGATTTCTTTTTGAAAGAGCACACATCAATATCAATATTAATTTTTAAATCTGTGACCAAAGGCTGTTGCACATACAGTATATGGTGCATGATTTTGGTTTTGGTTATTCCTGTAAATCGATATAAGTTTACAAATTTATATCATAGTCTGAATGTGTGCTAGCAAGTCTACAAGTCAAACGGGTCATACTCTTTGTGCTGTTTCTTTTTAGCATACTGTATGTAACTCTGTGTTAAGGAGGGCCGGGTATAAAAATTGGTAAGATTGAGTTTCTATGCTGCATGGCTGTGCTGTCATCCAAGTATTGGCAACTTTACAGTTGATCATCTCTTGTCACCTACGTGCGCAGGAGGAGCTCACACGAAATTTCATTCTTAAAAGTTAATTTTCTAAAAAATAAAAAAAAACATGGAAGGGTTTCCAGGGATATTTACAGTACAAGTCAGTACTGCAAACTGGTAGCGATGATCTCTCTATCTGCATTGTAGATGTAGTACTGTATTCTGCAGTTTATAACCTTTAGGAAATTACAACTATAATACTACTATACTAAACACAACACAACATAATAACTTCTAATATTACTATTACAATACACTTAACAACAAACACACACTTTTGACGTCTTACACATTTAGCTAAAGGAGTTCTGACAGATTGCAGCCTCCGAACACACTTTTTTATATCCTTAATGCAAATATAAACGCTTACACACTAACATACACTAAAGTATTTTTTTCTGCATGACTTGTAATTTGTAGACGTGGTGTACGCAGACATTCTGTCTGTTTTTAACAGATTCTAAAACCATTTCTGTGATAAGTTTTTACATCCAAAGGTATTTTTTCCCATGTCTTTGACAGGATGCGGTTTACTGTCTAATGGCATTTGACCGATATGTCGCCATCTGCAACCCTTTGAGGTACCCAGCTTTTATGACTGGTTCCATTCATGTCCTTCTCAGTATCGCTGCTTGGTGTTTTGGGGCAACATTAACACTGCCTTCAGATATATTGGCTACACCATTGCTTCTGTGACTCATCACTATTCCTAGCTACTATCCCATGCCGTGTGTATAATGCCATGGTATGCTGTGGATTACTGACAGGTGGGAATCTAAATGCTGTGAACTTTAAAACCAGTGAACTTTAACAGCTGTTGGAGACAGCCGAAGTAAGGGGAGCTAGAGGCTCATCAAAGACAGCTGTAGATGAATGAAGATGGTGTTAAGCTGGTGGATGGGAGTCAGGCACCGATGAAGGCGATACTGCAGATGGGTGGACGATTCATGGGGAAGATACCACTGGAGTGGTGCTGATCTGGAGTTTGGAGATCTAGGAATCTTCGGGGATCATGTTGTCAGGATTCAGATTTACAGTTCTAGACCCCGGTTTCAGGTTTTGGACCGATGCATCTCCCAGGTCAGTGCTGAATGTTGCATTACCGTGAGTATCACAATGTCAGAACACCTTTCTAGTGACATATCTGGATTTAAATAGGGATTATAATTCGGATGATTAATTGGAAGATTGAATGGAAGAAGGGGGCACTGCTAAAAGACCCAAACATGTCCTTATGTCGCTAGGATGAATCTGTTTACTTGTAAGAATGTCAAGGGTTCTCGGGGTAACTGAGGACAGTGAGCTCTCATCCGCCCAGACTTGACAATGTCCTCCTATTAACTGGTGCTCTTCAGGTGCTGGACGGGGTCCTCTGGGGTACCAG